TTTGACACCGCGCTTGTCTATTTGTTCTACTTTTAATAGACTACATTGGAAATTATGATTTACTATAATAAATGTAGATGCATTATAACTTGTGTTTTTATCCTTATACAACCAGTTCAAAACATCGTGCTTACTATATAGCGTGTGTAGGTAATATTATAAATGTACATATTATTCCTGACTCATCTTGGCTTTAATCATATTACTTAAACGGTATTTGGAATGTATATGTAGGAGAGAGGTCGTCCATGGTGAATAAGTAGTCTCAGAGATTTACGAAACACTATTTATTTTATTTTATTATAAATTGCAGTAGTGCACTTTTACAATCAAGGATAATAATTAATTCTATATTAATTATCTGTGAGCGTCTAGGATAAGCTACAACCTGGTACAACTAGTGCACCGAGTCACGCCAGAGCCGAGACTGCCGATCCGTCACTGCGTGTTCGTTTTATACCCGTTGCAAAACAAGTCGAGTAGTGGGACGGTGGGGGAAAGCGTGCGGCGCGCCGGTGACGTGATCGGTGCACGTGCTGTTTACAGTTATCAGCTGTGCCGGCGTACGACGACGCTGTCGTTATGCCGTCACGGCCATTCTGACATGCGGACGTACTCGTACGCAGCAACAGAATCACTATCGTTCTGAAACAGTAGGCATCGCTCGATTATCCTGACAAAGAATCATAAATTTTACAAATTCGGCAATATGTTCTGGTCCGGTCTATAATGACCCTGCAGATATTAATAATCAGCTCTGGTCCGGTCTACATTGACCCTTCAGGCAATTAGTATTGGACCGGTTCCTTTGAACCCTGCAACACTAATCAGTTTTGGTCCGGCAATATGCCCTTCAAAACGTCTTTTTTTTCTCTCTTTTTTTTATAACTTTTATCATTGGACCGGCTAAGCCCTACAATGATAATTTTCAAGATACATGTTAATCACTATCATTAGCTCTATGGATATCAGCTTGTGTTACTATAATTGTAGGTTCAGAATAAACAGACATGGTATCTTCAGAATCAATTGAAATCGTACGTGAGCTAGTAGTATGATAGTCGTCTTTTTCTGAAGTTAATGTACTAGAGCCAGCAGTATCAGTTTCAGAGGTATTATCAAGTTGGGCATAGATTTCATGATCATTAATATCCGCTTGCTGTAGTTCTTCGTTATCTTCACTACAGTTTTCAATAATATCTAGACAAGCAGAGGGACCACGGGGCACCTCTCTTAAGTTTTCATGGGAATATTTAAAAATTCGATTTGACCCATTTATATGTTTTAATTCATAGCGATCATTATTCAAGACAGCAGTAATTTTAAAAGGACCTTTGTACTTCCTATCTTCTTTGGTCTGATGTCTTTCTTCGGATTTCACAAACACGTAATCACCTATAGCAAATGGTTTAATTTTGGCTTTACCTTTGTTGAAGCGAATGGAGTCTGCTTGTGATAATTTAATGATATTATCTGACGCGCTTGCTCTAATGTTATCAAGGTCTAATCTATGTTTTTCATTGTCTGGGAAAGAAGTAGCTATTTTAGACAGCCCTAAGGAATTACCTTAAATTCCAAACATTAGTTCGATAGGTGTGAATCCGGTCACCCTACAACGTGTGCCATTGAGGGCTAATTGAATTTCACCTATCTGATCCTGCCACGAGCTATCGGAATCGCATTCTATTATCGTGAGCAGACTTTTAAGAGTTCGCATCACTCTTTCGACCTGGCCATTAGCTCTACTGGAACCCGTTGCAATTAGATGTAAATGAATGTTATGATCTTTACAAAATTTTTTAAAATCTGAATTGTCATATGAACGTCCACGATCAGCAATTATTCTTTTGGGGGCACCAAAAAGATTTACCAAATTTTTCAGTGCTTTAATAGCATGACAAGAATTTAACGAAGTAGTACGTTCCAAAATTACAAATGTTGTAAAGGCATCTATAGCAACAGAGCAATATTGTTTTAAATCGCTCTTACCAGTTAGTTTGCCAGACAAATCTAGATGAATAGTGAGCCATGGAATAGCTGGTTTTGGGATTGGGTGTAATTGTACTTGTTGAGCACCCGAAGGTCCCTTAGATGCTTTGCATATTACGCAGGAATCGATATATTTTTTAACATATTTTGCTATATTCGGAAACCAGTAGAGATCATACAATTTATCGAGAGTTTTTTCGTAGCCAAGATGTTTTATTTCATTGTGAACATGGCCGATTAGGGTCCATGTTAATGATCTAGGAACAATGGGTAACCATCTTGAAATTTTGCCCCGTTCAATTTTTCGAAAGAGAACGCCCTGTCTAATATCGTACGTGTGTGATATTTCAGTCGGATAATCACTGGACCTTAATTTTGAAATGGTATCTGCGATCTCAGAATCACGTTGTTGTTCTACAACAAGCCATCCCTTTTCCAGTTCTGTAAGATTAACGATCTTTGGTGTTTGATTGACACTTTGAGATAGATCGTCATGAGCAAAATTACGTGAAAAAAAATCAGCATGAGCCATATTTCTACCTTCTTTATAAACTATATCGAAATCATAGGACTGCAATATAGCCCACCATCTATGTACTCTGGGCATCAAGTCTTTCTTTGAGTGAGAAGCTTTTAGAGAACTGCAGTCAGTAAAAACTGTAAATTTACGACCGTATAAATAGTGCCGAAAATGCTCTACAGCCTTAACTACCGCCAAAGTTTCGAGCTCGTATGAGTGATAACGACTCTCTGCACCAGTTGTTCGGTGGCTGAAGTAAGCAATCACGTGAGGTAAATGATTTACTTTTTGTATCAGAACTGCGCCGTAACCTTCGCTACTCGCGTCTGTGTGAAGTTCTATGGGTAGCTTTGGATCAAATATTTTAAGAACAGGCTCGGTTGTCAAATGAGTAATTATAGTTTTTAGGACTTTATTATGATCGGGGGTCCATGATATTTTCCCTTTCCCTGCGGCAGTCAAAGGGTAAAGAGGTTTTAGTAATTTAGAGAAATTGGGAATGAATTGACGGAAATAAGAGGCCAAGCCAATCAATTGTCTTACTTGTGTAACGGTGGTTGGGGTTGGCAATTTTTGCAAAGCTTCTATTTTCCAATGATTTGGTCTAATTTCTCCAGAAGAAATCGTATATCCCAAATATTCGATCTTCTTTTTCATAAATGAACATTTATCAAAATTGAAAGAAAACCCTGAATTAGAAAGTGTTTCTAGTAATTTGTCTAGCCTCACTAAACCTTCACTGACCGTTTCCAATACAGAGAGTACGTCATCCATGTAAACTAGGATTCTGTCATCGTCAAGGGGCTTAAGTGCGGAGTTGATGGCTCTTTGAAAGACCTGTGGGGCATTTCGAAGCCCAAAAGCGAAAGCAGTTTTTTCTACCGAGTCTTCATGAACCTTGATCTGATGAAACCCAGAGGCCATATCTATACATGAAAAGTAATTTGCTCCGTGTAGCTTATCTATTTGGTCACTAATCAATGGAAGTGGGTAGCTATCAGAAAGCGTATTTTTATTCAACTCCCGATAATCAACACACAAACGATCACTACCATCTTTCTTTTTTACTAACAATGTGGGACTTGCAAAGGGTGAAGAACTTTCTCGGATATTATTGGCATCTAATAGTTCTTTGACTTTATTATTAACGATTTCCAACTCCAAAGGAGATAGTCTATAAGGTCGCCTATGAGCTATTTTGCTTGGGTCAATAAGTTGAATTTTTAACTCGCCAGTGGTAACCTGCGTGGTTGGTAGCTGGTTAATAAAATTGTTGGAATACTTATTTAAAATACTAATAAGCTTTTCTTTATCGGAGCCTGTTAAGTCAGTATCAATAGTTTGTAGTCCATTGTTCAGCTTTGTACAGAAATTTGTTATCTTGGGCTTGAAAAAATGTATTGAGTTACTATTAATTTCCACAGAAACTTCGTTTTGCAATATATCACGTCCTAACAAAACCTCTTCATTTGTACATTCGTCCGGTAATACGTGAAAAGTTACATTTAAAGGCAAACCCTGAATGCAAACCGAGCATCTTACTTGCAAAGGAGATATAATGCTATTGACCCCTATACCCTTTAATAGAATCTGATCATAAAACCTATCACCCTCAAGGTGATCACTTTTACTTTGTTTAATGAGACTACATTCTGAACCAGAGTCAAAAATAAACGACAACTTCATACCACTAGTTTCCAGGGTACCGCGAGCTGCCTTGGAGCACAGGTTGACTTGCTTGCTGCCCGATGGGGCGTCTTCTTTCTTGACAGGTCGCTTAGGACAGTTGCTGGCTATGTGGCTGGTGTCATGACAGATGTAGCAGGATGTCATCGTCTTCCTTTGCTCGGGTTTATGTGAGACAGAGATATTTTTATTAGTGAAACGATGTACGTTGTATACAAATTCAAGACGTTTTTGTTTTAATGTTTTATTACATTTAATTATAATATTTTTAGATTATTTAATAGATTAGATCAGGTCAACGTCACGAAAGGTAGCCTTATCGAAAATAAATTGAAAACAAGTATCTAATCTCAAATGTTTACTTTGTTATTTCAAAATTCTAAACAACAAACGAACTTTTTTAAACAATTAATATTATAAACAGTGCTAAAATTGACGAATTAATAACTGTTTAAATTTGTGTTGAGTGAAACATAGTGATAAAAATCTTTGGATTTAGTAGGTAGTGCTAAATTGTATATAAAAATTGACCTTCGGACTACTCCTAACAACTACATCACCCGTTCTATCATCTATTTGAGTCATTATTTTAAGCACTATTATAATGCAACGTTTGGCCTAATGATATAACGGCTTTGACAGCCCAGACTAAGTTCTATAATCCGGGGTTCAAGTCAACGCCGAAACAATTATTGGATTTTGTTTCTTTTTGGTACTACTAAATATTTTTTATTGTTTTTTTAAATTTATTTTTCCGTGAGGAATTGTTCAAAAACTATAGTAAAAAAAAATATTTATTACAACTATGCCTAAAACAAGAGGAGAAATTAAAAAAAATAATTTATTATCTTGTGCGGCGTGTCCGAAATTTATTGAAGATAACGTATACCTCAAATGCATATACTGCTTTAAAAATTTTCACAATTTGTGTGTCGGTATTGCTTCTTCTGATAAAAGCACTGGGAGCACCATAAATACCTGGGAATGTCCAGATTGTAAAGTTGCTAGGAAGAGAGGAGGTGACAACTCTAATACACCATTACGCGGTGCTACTGCCACATATTCCCCACCCACTATTAGTGACAGCGCTCAAAATGTCACAATGCGACGCAGAGAAATGTCACCACAACCATCTCTTACTTCCACTGATATAAGAAACATAATAAGAGAAGAACTGGAGCTTGTTCAAAATTCGTTGATAGATAAATTCAAACACATTGTTAGAGATATGGTTAAGGAAGAAATACATTCCTTCGAAAGCACGATAGAAGCAACTGAAAAGGCTATAGCATTTTTAAACGATGAATATGATACCATTAAGAAGAACTTAGACATGCACCTGCAAAATTTATCTGAAATTCGTAAATAATACCAATCCATGGTTGATACTACCAGAGACATCACAGCTAGACTGCAAACTATAGAACAGCATAGTCGGTCCAAAAATATTGAAATACAATGTGTACCAGAGCATAAAAATGAAAAACTTTTCACCATAGTCTTACAACTTGCCAAAACCGTTTCTTGTGATATCAAAGAAGCTGACATCCATGTATGTACACGTGTAGCAAAGATGGATTTAAAGAGCGGCCGTCCAAGATCTATTATTGTTAAACTTGCTACGCCTCATTTGAGGGACAACTTTTTAGCCAAGATAATAAACTTTAATAAGGCTAATTCTAACGAAAAAATCAATATGAGCCATATCGGTATAGCTGGCAAGACGCCCGTGTTCGTAACGGAACATCTTTCTTCATTAAACAAGAAAATCTATGCCGCTGCTTGCCTTAAAGCCAAAGAGAAAAGCTACAAGTTTGTGTGGATCAAGCAGGGCAAGATCTTCATGCGGAAGACGGATACTTCGCCATATATATACATAAGAGATATGAGTAGTTTGGAAAATTTAGAGTAGGTTGTCTTTGCTAATTGTGCATGTTCTCAGACTTCTAATGTTACATCTGTATATTACCAGAACGTCCGCGGAATCCGAACCAAAACACATGATCTCTTTTGTAATGCTCTCTGCGCTGATTATGAGATTATAATATTGACTGAAACTTGGTTAAACCAATCTTTTAATAATGCTGAGGTCCTCGACAATCGCTATAGTATTTATAGACGTGATCGCGAAAGCTCTGGATTTCATGGTTCAAAGGAGGGTGGCGGTGTATTAATAGCTGTCTCTAACAGGCTAAAATCTACTAGGCTAGTTGGGCTTGAGAGTAAATGTGAGGATTTATGGATAAAAATAGAATCCTCGACATTCAAAATGACGATTTGTGCGGTATACCTGCCTCCCCCCGTGAATCATACTATTTTAAAACATTTTACAGACAATTTTAATAGAGTATCTGAAGGATTAGAAAATGTGTGTCTCTTAGGTGATTTTAATTTAAGTAATATTGACTGGACATGCAGTCCAATTTGTTGCGCCTCTAACTTAGGCCAAACGTTAATAGATTTTTCATCTCTTAATGACTTAAAACAATATAATAATGTAAAGAATAAAAATGATAAAGTTCTTGATCTCGTATTATCCAATATAAAATATATTAAAGTTCTGTATTCAGTTCATAGCCTAGTCCAAACTGACCATTACCATCCACTTCTCGACATAAATTTTGCCTTTAATGCACAGACGGGACTTAAATCAAATATATCGCAAACTAAATACAACTTTTTTAAAGCAGATTATAACAATATTAAGGCATCACTTAACAATATAAACTGGTCTCTTGAATTTGCTGATTGTAATGATGTTAATGAGATGATCAATATATTTTATGATATACTTAATAAGACAATAGAAAAGTATATTCCAAAATCAAAGCCACGCAGTTTAAAATATCCACACTGGTTCAATAAAGGTTTAATAAGAATAATAAATAAGAAAAGAACTCTCCTGCATAGATATAAAATTTATAAAAATCCGCTTGATGAAATATCGCTACAATTATTAAGCAAACGCTGCAAAATTTATACAAAACTTTGTTATCAGGAATATATTTCTAAAATTGAAAGTAGCATAGGCAACGATCCTAAATATTTTGGTCTTACATTAAAAATAAGCGTAATTTTGTAAATCAATATCCATTAACTATGAACCTTAATAACAAGATATGTTCCGAGGGGTCAAAGATATGTGACCTCTTTGCAACTCATTTTTCGTCCATTTATACCAATTCCACAGTCCCCATACCATCCAATAGCATTAATAATTCCATCACAAATTCATCTAGTTGTTTTAGCTCCTTATACATCCCACAAAAAACAGTTTACAAGTATTTAAAAAGACTTGATAAAAATAAAGGAGCTGGTCCGGATAGAATTCATCCAGTTTTTATAAATATTTGTGCTTCTTCTCTTAGCAAGCCCTTAACCATAATTTTCAACGAATCATTGCGATCAGGTGTATTTCCAGAAAAATGGAAAATAACAAAAGTCGTCCCAGAATTCAAAAACGGCGATAGTAAAAATGTTATTAATTATCGACCAATATCTATATTGTCAGCTTTTTCGAAGATATTTGAGGCCGTAGTTTATCCTTATTTATCTAGCTATTTTAAGCTCTACCTCTCTGAAAACCAACATGGATTTGTTAAAAATCGCTCAACAATAACGAATTTAATATCTTATGTAGGTTTCTTAACAGAAAAAGTCGACACTCAACTTCAAGTAGATGCTACATACACAGACTTTTTTAAAGCATTCGACAGAGTGTGCCATCGAACTTTATTGCATAAATTATCTAATTACGGTTTTTGTGGGTTTATGGTTGATTGGTTTGAATCGTATCTACGTGGTCGAACTAACTATGTAGTACTAAACGGTTACAGGTCTGATAACTCTATATCTAGTTCTGGCGTTCCACAAGGTTCTCACCTGGGGCCGTGGCTATTTAACGTGTTCATTAATGATTTGGATCAACAAATAAGAAATAGTAAGGTCCTATTATTTGCAGATGACTTAAAGATAGCTAGAGTGATTAATTGTTCCAATGATTCACAATTTTTACAAGATGATATTGATGGTCTAGTAAATTGGTGTAGCATTAATAATGTGCAGCTCAATCCAACTAAATGTTATCAAATCTCTTTCACACGTAAATTATCTCCATTTAAAATGAAATATAAAATAAATAACGAAGAATTACAGTTTGTGGATCTTATTAAGGACTTGGGCATTTTTTTGGATTCTAAACTGACTTTTATTCCCCAAATGGACCGCATGATAGAGAAAGCTTCAAGGACTTTAGGCTTCATATTAAGAAACAGTAAAACCTTTAAGAACATCACAACTAAAAAAATATTATTTAATACCTATGTCCGCAGCATAATAGAATATGGGAGCGTAATATGGTCACCACAATACAAAGTCCATCAACTACGTATAGAAAGGATACAAAAACGGTTTATGAGGAATCTAGCTTATTGTAGTAATATAAATGACAAAAAACTTGCCGGATATAATGAGAAGTTAAAATTCTTCGGCGTTGACAGCTTGTCAAACCGAAGAAAGTATCTAGACATGGTAATGTTTTATAAAATAGTGCGCGGAACTACGGACAGCGCTGAGCTATTGCGAAAAATAAAATTTAAAGTACCAAGGCGTTATCCGCGTAAATCTGTACCTTTGTTCTATCCATTTCCTTCTAAATCTAATCTAGGTCATAACAATAGTTTAGTTAGAATGTCACGCATGCTGAATTTGATGTCGGATTCTGTGGACATTTTTAGCAATTCTTTGTCCTCTTTTAAAAAAACAGTGCTACAGAACTTAAAAGATAATATTTAGGAGTTCGATATGTATTAATTTTGTTATTTGGTTTAATTGATTATTGTGTTTTTTCGCCTGTATTGTTTTAAGGTGTCTCTGTTATTATATTTTTTTAAATATTTTTGGTATTTCTTGGTTTTTGATTTATTTTAAGGTTATGTTTCTAATATTTTGTAATTTATGTTATAAAGTGTTACTCTTCTTGTGAAGCATGGTGTGGCTGCCTTTGATAGGCTTTACATTTAAAAATTAAGCTTATATATTATGTTTTGTGAACATGTATTATTGTAATTACCTCTGGCTGTCCTTAAATAAATAAATAAATAAATAATATATATGAGTCCATTCTGTTCGATAACTTGTTGCCATCTTCTAGGTAGTGACATAATCCCGTTACTGTAGAAATCTTGTAATTTTTGTTCAAAAAATGCGACAAGTAGTTTATTTGATATATTCAATACCAGAGATTTGAAGGAACATAGAGTCATCACATTTATAATGCAAAAAAAAAAATTCTTAATTACTTAGAACACGCAAAACAATATATAATAAACTTAAATATTAAAACCTCCAGAAATCTTTCTTTTAAAGAACATAAGCAACAAAAGAAAATAATGATTAAAAGTTTTAAACCAGTTTTAAGTACTCAAGCAAGTGCTGGATTTTTAGGAATGTTAGTGTGCATTGACAGTCTCAAACAGATAACTAATCTTTTGATCTGGCGTTATCATGATGAAAGACCACTCCTTTTCTGATAATCAATGCCGGCCGTTTTCTTTCTATTTCTTGCATGTCTCATTATGTGTTGGTAATAGAGATTCGAATCGATGGTTTTAACCGGCGGTAAAAGCTCATGTTAAACGATACCCTTACAATCCCACTATAAACACGGCATCATTTTATTGCGTGTTAATCAAGGTTTCAATTTAGTCTGTAAACAAAACACATATCAATACAGAAAAAAATTACGTTTCTTGTATGGCCTTCATACAAGAAACGTGATTTTTTAGGGTTCTTTAATATTTTATATTATTTTATTTTATGTTGTTATAGCAGCAATATAAATAAACATTCTGTGAAAATTTCAAGTATCTACTTATTACGGTTTATAAGATACAGCCTGCTGACAGACAGACGGAACGATGATGGAGACTTGGGTCACGTTGATACTCTTTATGTACGGAACCCTAATAAACAAAAATTAGGTCATTTGAGCAATACTACAGAAATAAACATTAAATAACATAGAATTAGGTTATATTATAATAAGTTAAATATAATATATTATAAAATATAGTAACAATAAAGTCACATATAAAAATCTCAGCCACGGGGAACTTTATTTTTGTATACGCGGCAACAGTGAATGCCGTAATTCATATATTTTTTTATAGGAGAGGGGGCAAACGAGCATGCGGCTCACCTGATAGTAAGTGACTACCGCCGCCCATGAACAACCGCAACACCAGGGGAATTGCAGATGCGTTACCGGCCTTTTAAAAAGGAGTAGGCTCTTTTCTTGAAGGTCCCTAAGTCGTATCGGTCCGGAAAAATCGCTGGTGGTAAACTATTCCACAAGGAAGTTGTGCGAGG